CCCCAAAACCCCAAAACCCCAAAACCCCAAAACCCCATTTATCCAGAATATTATTGACTACTAGTGGACAATTAAATTTTTGATTCTTTCAGAAGTGGTATAAAATGTTAGGAGATGCAATCACACTCATTCCAGAAGCCAGAGTAATGGCTACTACTATGACACAGATTAATAAGGTCTCCAGATCTGCTTTCAAGTGTAGAGATTTCATCAGGATGAGCCTTGATGATTACTTACAACGCATTTATCAATATTCAGAGTGTCATGAGTCATGCTTTGTCATGGCCATGATCTTCATTGAAAGGGTTCTACAGGAGTACTCTGCTAGCTCGAAGTCCCTCCCATTCAATGTATATACGTAAGTATATCTGGTTATTATTAATGTCACTTTGTTTATTCCCTCCTTGAAACAAGTTCTGAAATTTCATTTAGACTTTGCCTAGCATCAATGGTGCTTGCTATCAAGCTTTCAGAGGACGACACTTGCAACAACGAGTTTTATGCAAGACTGGGAGGCGTATCTAACGACGAAATGGTCGAACTTGAGCTTGAACTGCTAAAATTAATCAAATTCGACATTTTCATCTCTAAGGAAGAGTTTACCTCTTACCAAAAAGAAATGATTTCGTACCAATCTTAGTTTACGTTAGGAGTTCATAATCCTAACACTAAGATAGACATAATCCGAAAAGTTTAATTTTCATTAAAACTATCACTTAAACAACGTATCTTGGCTTTGATTCATGAAAATTTCATATAAGATCTCTGGCATCTTCACCAACTCTCTGTTCCAGGGTGGGGGATGAGATTCTATTTGGGAAAAGAGTCACCCACTTAGGGATATTTCGACCTTAAAGTAGGAACCTGTTTCCTAAGACTCTTTCAACAAGACTTCGGTTGCATTACACTCTATTAATGATAGGTTTCGAAGGGACCTTAGAGTGAAACTGTAGGAAGTTCTCCCTAAAAATTAAAAATGGCGTCATCTAGGTTTTAAATAAGTATACTTGTCAAAAACCCGCTAATAAGGTGATGGTATTTGATCACCTTCTCAACCCGCTAATTTGTGATAGATAAGACAATAATGCAAGATGAATTATCCCTTGTTCATTTTTGTCCAAAGGGAAAAGTTCCATTTGAAGTTTGCTGAAAGATTCAGATCGTCATGAATATTATGGAACTTTTAAAAAGAAAATATTTAATAGTTTCAATATTTAAATAACATGTGGGGTTTTGGGGTTTTGGGGTTTTGGGGTTTTGGGGTTTTGGGG